ATATATATATATATATATATATATATATATAGTGGTGCAACCCAAACCAAATCCACACTGCTCTTCCGCCACGTTAGGTTTCACAACCTGACTGACGAGGCGGTTGAGCAGGATTCGGGAAATCACTTTGCCTCTCACCTCAGCAAGTTGATGCCACAATAATTCGTGCAACATTGTTTGCTCCTTTTGCCCTTGTTCAGTAGTAGCACAAGGGCATCCTTCAGCTCAGCAGGTACCTCCTCCTCAATCCATACGCGTTGCACCAAGTGGTGCAGCGCAATCACCAACGCGGGTGCGCCGTGTTTCAACACTTCAGGCGGGATCCCGTCGGCTCCGCTACATTGCCTTTTCGCAGCTGAGCAAGTGCTCTCTGCGTCTCATGCAGTGTCGGCGCGTCCGCCAGACTCGCCTTCACATCGTTCTGCTTGAGGCCGTTCAATGTAGACCAGTCGATCTCTGAAAGTGTTTTTGCCAGATCTGCATTATGTCTGCAGTCTGTGGGCAGGTAGCGCATGAGCTACAATCGAATAGCGTCCTCAGCGGCTCCAATCTCGGTCCATACACCGCCTTCAAGGGGTCAAATAATTCCTTGTGTTGGTGGCGTTCGGCATAGCATTTCATCTGTTCCGCCTTCTCCGTCCACCATGCATTTTAATGCGACGGAGCTCTCGGGTCAGGCGCCGTCGAATTTTGCGAAGCTGACTATTCTTCCCCCACCACTGGGATCTGCCAGATGTGCAGCAAATGCTGCATTCTTCTCCCACACCAATGCGCTAATCGTCATTGTTCTCATCAAACCAATCATTCCGCTTACAGTTTGCGCGCCCGATGGTCTCCTCGGCAACAGCTGTCACCATTTCGCGATTGTGGTGCCACAGGTCGCCCACTGCGGGTATGCAGTCCACGTCACACAGGCGTGCAGCCATCGCCTTCTCCAGCTCAATACGTTTCGCCATGGTACTGACGGAATGTTAAATTTACGCCGATTCATGGCGGGATTGCAAACCATAGATTTACGAAAAGATATGTACAGCTTGGTCCGCAACAATTTGCGATCAGTGCCACACTCAACTCTACGCAGTACATGCGTGAAGCGCACTTAACGTATATCATGCTGATGTACGATGCCGTAGTCGAGCGGGTGAGCGTGACCACTCCGTGGGTGCGTCCAAGTTGCTATATCACTTGCACTCAGTGCAAACCGAGTGTTCTTGATCGTCAGGCGGTGAGTGACACACAGTGAGAGCAGCCTGTCACCGTTCGCATTCGCTGAACCAATGCCATGCGGAACGATAACATCTGTGCACACCGATGCATCACGCCCAACGCGCGCGTTGAAACCACACAGCAGAAATAGTCGGCCACTCCTCGGCACAGACCGTATCACGAACGATAGCTCAGTGTAGAATTGATCACGCGTGTCATCAGGATAACAAATGGTCGATTCGTACATGCTTATAAAAGTGGCAAACTTACATTTTCCGAGTCGTAGGCGAACAGTCATCAGTCGCGCGCTGATGCTTATTTGTTCACCCACGAGCTGGCCATTTAGGCGATCGGATAGTGCAAATCCGACCCCATGATCATGTGGTGCTGAGGCGGCGTTGCCCACCCAGTAGAATGTGTAGCCAGCACCTGCTTCATGTAACTTAACTTGCTCAGGGGGCCGGGTTTTACTGAGCGCCGCAATATCGATGTTGTAGCGCGCCAGTCCCATCGCGACGAGTGTAGTGCGTCGCTCGGGGCGCTCACCAGAGTTCCGGTGCAGTAGTCTGCGCACCTTGCAGCACCCTTTGCTATGCTTTGGGATCTGCTTGACGGCCGTCACAGGCAGCCTTTGAGGTACTAAAACGATTCATATGTGTTTTGCGACCCTAGTAGGATACACCTGCGACCACGGCGAGATGCAGGTGGGTTTCGGTGGGTTTGCACCAATTTGACCAGGGGCTGCCTGGCTTGAGGCGGGCAGTAGCAAACGATGAACACCCGGAGGTGTCCTCCCACCGTCAGAGACAATGCGTGGCGCTCGTGCTCTACACCAATCGAGCTGTGAGCTTGTAACCTTAATGATCTTTCAAAGTCGGGTCACTGACATTACGGTGTCACATGTAACAATCTTGAGCTTGCTCACACTAGTATCTGAATAATGTGAGGTCACCGAAAATACGACATGCAGTGTCAAAGGGTAATCATGTCGCTACCCCCGTTTCACACTCTTTGTCAATCAAATTCGGGTACAATCTTCGGGTCGGATAGCCTGACGTCGGGTGCGAGATCTGGTATGCGGGTCGTAGTGTTGTTATTCTGCACTTATTCATGGGAGGCCACGGCGAACCGTCATAGCTAGCAACCATATTACGTGATGCATCCTCCACTGGTATAAAAATTACGAATGATGCAGTGAACAGGGTTGGTCCCGATAGACACGAATCCACTAATAGCAGCTACGTACGACATGGCATTTATAAACTGTTTGAACGGGTATTAACATAAAAAACGATGCTCAAGAGTGTACCAAAAACAGACGTCAAGCGAACCCTGCAACTAGTTTGTCAGTGATTTAATATTTTTTCCATGACCAAAGACGTTTCCGTAGACGTTTACCTGCGGTACTTTGGCCTGCAACGAGGGATTCTGGTGCAACCAAACTGGAAATTGGTACCTGTTACATGTGTGTCGTTCGCTAAACCGCTGAGCCGATGAGCAAACACACACAAATACAGATCGATTGACGATAGCTGATTCTAGAAGAGTAGTAGGGAGAGTTGAATGGTATAGGTAGAATTTCGTCACATCTAGACTCACTCAGACAGCCGCCACACGCCCGGAAAAGCACTGTACGCGCGTTTCATCT